CCATAGAGCCTCATGTTCAATTGTTTTCTTTCTTTTTTACAAAACTGGGATGATAGTGTGTCCATAGTTTCATCCACTGCTTTTTCCTCCAATAACTCAGAGTGAACATTTCCCCACGTCATTAAATATTCAACCACCGCATCGCTGGTGACACTGCCTAGCAGCCACTCTGGGGATGCATCACCCCGCCTGAACCGGGTCCGGATGGCGAAGGTAGAGGCTGCTAGGGAGCCCCTCAAGTTTCAGGAATCATTTCTCAAGCCCCCACATCATAATGACCTTCTTTTTAGTGTACACTGTTTGAGAAAATGTATGATGACTAACAGAGTTCAAAACCAAGTAAAACCAAACACTGTATCTTTCAGATGTACATATTGGTGAGAAAACTGAAAAAAATATATATGAGCCAGAGAATGACAAATGCAATAGTCAAGGGAATGCTCCCTCTGGGGAGGAGTATAGAAACAAGTATAGAAGTGACTGGTAATGATGTAGTTTCCAATTGGGAGGCAGGTTTATTATGGTGTCTACTACATACAATAAAAAGACTAAATAAAATAAAGACTAAAAAATAAAGTTAGGTCACGCATGGGCTAATAATGACAAAGGGTCATGAATCTATGATCAATTCAATTGTATGCCCCTGAAAAAGGAAGCACATGCATAATCACAGAGCGATTATGACTTTAGGCAGACTTTAAATGGATTATTTCTATTTTATTCATCACAGAGGCATCTACATATATTTGAAAAATATTAGGGCATATATTGTGAGGCATATTATTTATTGTGTCCATAAAAATATAAAAATTCAAATGGATTATTTATTAGTTTTTGTAGAGATGGGTGTCTCACTATATTGCACAGGCTGCTCTTGAATTCCTGGGCTCAAGCAATCCGCCTGCCTCAGCTTCCCAAAGGGCTGAGATTACAGGTGTGAGCCACTGCACCTGGCCAAGAATCCAAATGGATTCAAAGATTTCTTGAAATAATTCCTCAATGCAATACACACACATACACCAGGGCTGGTCAAATAGAAAGAGAGCCTTGGCCTGAAGACAGACCTGTGCTTTCCCTAGCTTTGCCAAGACATCTGTTCTGTCTTAATGACTCACTGAGCTGAAGCCTGGAGCATTTCAATGGGTGCTGGGGATGGGTTACTGAGCAGGACCAGCCATGCCCTTTGGGAGACATGGACTGGTAGATGAGACAGTGAAAAAACAGCAACCTGGATGTGACATAGGCCAGCTCCACAGCCTGCTGGAGGCCAGCAGATGGGGGCACCAAGGAGCTGCATGTCTGAAGGATGAGTGTGGAGCTATAAGGGCATGTCTAGTACAGAAACACAAACAAAGAACAGAGGTAGCAAATGGTTCCCGGTAGTGACACATTGTTCTGGAGGGCCTTTCAAATGGAGCAGGAGGGTGAGGATGAGGAATAGATGATCATGAAAGACCTTTGCAATACCAAAGATGGTTCCCAGGAATGACACATTGTTCTAGAGTGCCTTTCAAATGGAGCAGGAGGGTGAGCATGAGAGATAAATGACCATGAAGAACCTTCTTTGCAATATCAAAGATGGTTCCTGGAAATGACACATTGTTCTGAAGGGCCTTTCAAATGAGGCAGGAGGGTAAGCACAAGGGATAGTTGATCATGAAGGACCTTCTTTGAAATGCCAAAGATGGTTCCCAGGAGTGACACATTGTTCTGGAGGGCCTTTCCAATGAAGCAGGAGGGTGAGAATGGGGGATAATGATCATGAAGGACCTTCTTTGTGATTGGTATCTCAAGGGCAATGGAGCTGGGGCACTCTTATGAGGAAGAGTGACCGAATCATAATCATAAAGCATCGTTTCACCTGCCATGAGGACACAGGGAGCCCATTTGGGCTGCTGCAGAGATGAGGATGGCCTAGGAAAAGCAGGGGAAGGAACCGCTCTTCCTTGTCTAGGAATCCTATTGTCCATTTGTAAAACAAGAACATGGGATTGGATGTCACTGAGGGCCCTTTCTGCCCCAAAGCTTAATCCCATGGTTTGACAGGAAGACACCAGGTCACCTCCTCTGTCCTGCAGTGGAGTAGAATAGGGTGAGGAGAGGCTGTCTGGCCTGGGACCCTGTCTCCAGTGCCACAGCACAAGAGTGTGGCACCTTCAGGCCCTTCTGGAACCTCCATGCCCTCAGCAACCCCATCATAATTCCCAGGAAACACCACCACAATCCCAGCTCTGCCTGAATAAACTCCCTGTCTATGCAGTCTAACCAACAACAGCCCTTAGAGAAGCAAAGCTGCATCCTGTCCCTTTAAATCCTGTTTTCCAGCTGACATCTGAGTGGTAGTGGATGAATGAGAGAATGTGTGTGTATGGTGAAGATGCTTGACTGTGGCTCTGTGTGTCATTCTGTTGTGCCCATATCCCTATTTGATGCCATATGTTAGGCTTTGCAAGTGTGTCTGAGCTGGCCTGGAACTGCTGTCACCTCAGTTAACATCAGAAATAGGCCATGGGATGGGACGCAGGGCACCAGAGACACCTGCCTTACTCTGCTGCTCATGGCACACAGGGGTCTTCCAGAGCACCACAGTGTGACACACACTTCCCTGAACCTATTTGCCAACCTGTCCCCAGCAGCTTGGGGACACGCAAACTGTTCCAAATACTTATCCCCTAATGCATGGCCTCTAGCTGGGCCAGGGCTGGCCTGCATTCTCGGGGACCCACCACTATCCCAAAGCCTCTCATCTACCTTTGCTTCTTTAGTTAGCAAAAGGGCCCTTGTCTTTGTTTATTTGTACTCAGATTTAATAAAATTGAGAGAAGTTTGGAACTCTTCCCAATTTCTTCCCCATTTACCTATTTGTAGACAACGACATGAGCTGTAAAATCATTTTGTTCCGAAACTGCTATCTTTTCTAGTTTTCCCTCTGTCACATCTAGAATGACAACTGTGCCTATAATAATAAGATCTATGAAGAAATGGCCCCACGTCCTGGAAACCAGGGGACCTTGGGTCTGTGTTTAGACCCCAACTGCCCATTCAGGATGCAGAACCACCTTGGACTCTGCCACTGAAGTGGTCACTTCCCAGAGGCATCTTTGGTACATGTGCTCTCCCAGTTAAGAGTAATCCAGTTTACCCAGGCCAACCCTCTGTTCTGCAGAAATCTGCATGAGATGAGAAGTCCCTGGCCTCTGTTCACTGGGAGTACACCACCTCTTGACATAGCTGCAACTGCATCTCAGGAGGTGGTGTGCTTTAGGCACCAACTAGGCAGCAGCTTCAGTACTGTGCAAGGCGAATAACAAGCTCGGCTTGGGACTTCTCCCTTCCTCCCTGCTGCAAAGTGCTGTGTGAAGGGCTGCCCCCTGTATATGAAGAACACTATTTCCTTATGAATACATGGGTTGACATGGCCGGCCACACTCTGGCCTGTGTGAGACCCTGGGTAACAGGGCTCAGTCTAGGAACTGAGGATAAGACTCTGCCTAGGTCCTCCCCTGCTTCCAGCACTGGATTATATGAAGGCCAAGGAGCCTCTACCTCTGCAGTTGCCCAGAGCTGAGCCTGGATCTCTCACCATCCATTCAGGAAGCAGAGGATAGACCTGGCTGGCTGCTCAGCACCTTGTACCTGCCAGTCAGCAGGCCCTGGAGAGATTCCAGGGCTCAGCCCTGGTCTTAGTGCAGTCTTACTTGCTCTACCTGGGCAGTGACAACACCATTCATATGGAGGCTGATGAGAGCAGAACATACAAAGGCAGCCTGCCTGCCGCTTCGCCTCTCTGCCTAGGACATGGAGCTAGTGCAGGGTGGTTTCAGCCTTTCCTGGCAGCTTAGGTTCCTGTGGAGGACGGCAGGGAACAGGAGTGGTTCCTGGGACTGGCTTTCAGCTCTCCCTACCCTCTAAAGGTAGAAACACACAACACATATGTATGTCTTCTCCAGGCTCTCCATCTTGTAACTCAGAACCAGAGAATCTCAGAGCTGAGAGGGGCCTCAGAGATTTCACGGATGGAGAAAGCCCCAGAAGAGAGGGCCAGAGTCCTGCTTGGGGTACCATGCCAGGGAGAGCAGACCAAAAACAGCCTGAGTGGAAGCGTGCCTCACCCCAGGCCCTGCTTCCTGATCCAGATGCCCCACTCAGCAGGCAGGTACAGCAGGCCCACCCTAGGCACTCTGAGGATACAGGCACAGCAGATCACCAAGGAGGAAGTCTGAGTGGGGCCTGGGCAAGTTCCCTGGGAAGGTTTCCAGCTCCTCCACACTTGCTGTGGGCCCTGGTTTCCCCCCTACCCCTGCCCCCCTACTGATGTAGAAGCCAGGGTCAGGTGAGGCCCTGCCCAAGCCTGGAGAAAGAGAGACACATTCTCACTTCTTCCTTTATTTTTTCTGGTGCCCAGGGCACTAACACCTAGATGCTTAAAGCCTTCCGGATAATTTCAACTACTTTCTCCCCTAGACTTACTCCATCTGATTAAATAGGCCCCCAGTCACTGAAGCTGGTGACCTGGTATTATCCCTGCCTCCAGGCTCCTGCTTAAAACCAGCCACCCACTCCAGTTCCTCCTCACCAGGTCTGGCTGCCCCTCGGAAATCTCTCTCCATTTCAGCTTCCAGGACCTGATCCCAGGTCTTCAACCCATTCAGGCCCCTTGATCTCAGACTCTAGGGTGGCTCCCTGCTTCCCTCAAGGCCTCCCCAATCCATTTCCTTCCCAGGAGCTACAGAGGCTTTTCGAGGATACAGAGCTGCCCATGGGCTCTCCATCCCCGCCTCCCTCCTGTATCCTCGCTCAGGGAGGGGAAGCTCAGGCGGAGAGCTGCCCAACTTTGGATAGCGGCTGTCCCTTGGTTAGGAGAGCTGCCCAACTTTGGATAGCGGCTGTCCCTTGGTTAGGAGAGCTGCAGCGTTCTCCTCCTGCAGGCTGGCGGGTGGGCGCGCTTTGCTGCCCCCTGCAGCTCCCGGGCCTGCGTCCCCAATCCCCGCACGGGGCATGCAGTCAGTCACCCCAGGCCCACGCTCTGCAGTCCGCCGCCCTCTTCTGGACACCGAGGTGGAAGAGAGCTGCGAACTGAGAAGCCGTCTTCTGGGCAGGGTGGGGAACCTCGGCGGCTGGAGACCGAGCCCCTCTGAGAGGAGCTGCTCGGCCCCGCCCCCTGGCTCCGCCATTGGCCGTGGCGGAGCGGCTGTACCCGCAGCTCCTCTCCGGGAAGGTCCCCACTTGACAGCTCTGGGCGACCGGAGGCTGCACCCAGAGGCTGCCCGGGAGATTGGAGCTGGGCCGGCGGGGGCCAGGACCCGGCGCTCTCTCGGCCGTTCCCTCTAGCGTCCACTCCCTCACAGCCACGCGGGGCGCGCACTCCCACTCCTTCTCTACACGCGGCTGCGGGGCGCGATGGACCCGGCACTGCTCCACAGCCTGCTGGAGGCCAACTGTAGCCTGGCGCTGGCCGAAGAGCTGATCCTGGACGTCTGGGGGCCGCCCCTGGACCCCGAGGGTAGGCGGGAGGAGAGCGGTCGGAGGTGGCGAGGTGGCGCGGGCTTCTTCCCTCGCGCGCTGGGTGCGCCCCAGACCCCGCGCTCCGAGTGCCCCATGGCTCCCCGCGTCCCTGGGGGCCCCTCTGAGCCCTGCTCCCCTCTCTCCCGCCGCCAGGTCCCTACTCCTACTGCAACACGACCTTGGACCAGATCGGAACGTGCTGGCCCCGCAGCGCCGCCGGAGCCCTCGTGGAGAGGCCGTGTCCTGAGTACTTCAACGGCGTCAAGTACAACACGACCCGTGAGTGCCCCCGGCCCTCGCTGCCTGCTCTTCACCCGCGGTTTAGGGAGTAGAGAGGGTTCCGGACCCAGCGACACAAAGCTGCGGAGGGCCGCGGTACAGCAGACCTCTGGTATTAAGGACCCCTTACAATGTTGGGGCGCGCCTTCTGCTTCTACCCCCAGTACAGCGTCTAACCTCAGTAAGGCAGTGATTTGCCTACAATTCCCGTGCTCCATGCCGTGAGAGCCCAAAAAGGAGAGAAGGAAATACTTCCTACTCTTTGAGGGTAAACCTCCCTCCTTCATTGTAGGTTTCCGTTGCCTGAAGTTCCCCATTAGGGCTTCATTGTGTAGACGCTACTTCACCTGCCCAGGAGGGGGACCTACCCCAGGAGAGCGGATATGCTAAGTCCCAAATCCCCCAGAGTGAGTGCAGTGACCTGACCGTACTACCGGAGAGAATAGGAGGAAGGCAGGAGCCAGGAGAGCTGGGGCGAGTGCGTGTTTTGTGGGGAGGACATGCAGGCGTAGGTTCTGCCAAGCCAGAGGGTGAAGGGTGTTGCATCTTCGCTAATCCGACGTTCCAGGATTGACCTGCTGGGCTGAGTCAGGGGCGTGGGCAGCATTAGTCCCGCGCCCCCATAATGAGTGCTGTCTGAATCAGCCCCTCCCCTCCGCCCCTCAAGGAGAACAACCTGTGCCTTCCTTCCTCCTGGCAAGTCATGGATGGGCTTGAGGCTCTGGAGAAAAGGGCAGTAAAGGCTGCCAGAGTTACACAGCCTTCAGGTCAGGTGGTTTAGTGGGGTTCTGGGTGTATGCATGTGTGAGGGTGCCTGTCTGTGCCCTGTGGAACATGTGATGGGAGCCAGGCGTGTGGTCTGCAGACCCTGTGGGGACAGCAATCACTGGCCCACCTAGAACCCCCCTCACATCACCAGCCCAACCTCAGTTGCTAAGTATGCTGAGATCCTATCTGAGGATTATCTGTCTGAAACCTCTCATCCTGGAAACATCCTAACAAGCCCTCTCTGAGTGTCTGTGTCTGAATGGTGGCCCAGCTCCACCTCCACCCACCTACACACACACACACACACACACACACACACACACACGTGCACACATGCACACGCTTTCAGAAGCCCAGGCTTATGCCTTCACCAGGAGAGGTGGTTAGAAGGCAAGACACCAGCACCTGCACCTGATTCCAAGTGGCACTCCCCTGACTGTACCAGCTGAGGGCTCTGGTGGGGACAGGGAGCACATCTTATCCATGATTGAAACAGAACTCCCTAGAAAGAAGTGAGGTCCCCAACCTAGGAGGTGTGCAAGCAGAATGAATGATTTCCCTGTGCTTTATAAAACTGTATTTCTAGGATTCTGTGAACTGTGTGTGGGGTGGGGCAGTGGAGATCAGCGTGCCTGATTCAGACTGAGCCTGGAGATTAAGGGCCGTGGCCATCCAGGGTGAAGCAGGGTGATGGAGTATCTCAGCCACAGCCTGTGAACCAAGGGAGCTCTGCTTTGGTTCTTATCCCAGCCTGAGCTATGCCTTGTTCTCCCCAACCCACCTGGAGGCCCTTTTTTTCCCAGGGTGGGGCCTGGGTCTCTTCTTCATAGCCAAGCTGAGTACAGTATTATTTAATCAATTTGTGGAACACCCACTATGCGCCAGCCACTGCATGGGCACTGTATTGAGGCTCCCACTCACAATTGCAACAGACAAAAAGAACAGAATGATGAATGCCCTAATTAGGGGGGAAGCACAAGGTCTATGGGAATGGGGTCGGGAGTGACAGAGAAGACTTCCCAAAGGAGTGCAGACAGTGCATATCAGACCATCCATATCAATTAAGTCTAATGAGAAGCTGAAAAAAGGTCGGGCCACCACCCAGGCTGGTAAAGGTAGCGCCAATGAACCCCTGGTATCTAATGAACAATTTTCTTCATTTAGCCCAAAGTGCTGCCTGCACTGCCACTTCAGGAGAAAGAGAGGAGCTGGTGGAAGGTGGGGAGCACTAACCACCAACCACTAACCAGCACCTGGGGTGTGAGGTCAGCCTAGGTGGGAAGAGCAAAGTTTGCTAATGGCTGTGGACATGCATGATTGATTTTCCTCCTCCCTTTCTTCACACCAGTGTTGCTTCCTTCTCTGTTTGCCTTTTCATGGGATCGCTCCTTTAGAAAGAATGACACCGGGAGAAAACTCCATGAGAAGCCCAGGGGGAGAACAGGAGAGTTCAGGCTCCACTTCCTGCCCCAATTTTACCATGCTATAGCCAAACCCCTATTGAAGCCTCATTCCATTCATTGATCAATGAAGATTCATTGAGCAGGAATCACCCAGGTGGGGATAACAGTTTAGATATTAGTCTTTGTGATTTTTCAACTCAGCTGAGCACAGAGAATCAGCTGCAAAGCTCTCAAGTGTTAATCATTTTCCAGGTGCCAGCTACCACAGAGAGAGCTTTGTATCGATATATCACTCACCTCCACTCCCTCCAAGATACATACTGCTTCTATGCCCATATTGTAGACAAGAACACTGAGACTCGGACACATGAAGTAACTTGTTCAAGGTCCTAATCAGCTCCTATGCACCAGTGCAAGCAGGCAAATGCACAGCCCTCACTCTTAACCATGGGGCAGTACTGCCTCCACAAGAGGCATTTGGTTTGCAAGGACAGCTTAGAGATTTGGAAAGAAGACTTACCTCTGGCCTGGGAATCAGGGAGAACTTAGCCCTCTGAACTGAACTTCTGGCGACAGGTTCGGTTTTAGCAGGCGAGTACAGGAGAGGTACAGGAGAGGCCCTCTAGGTTAGGGGGGCTGAGCAAAGGCATGGAGACAGGCTGGGCTTTGTGCCTCAGGAGGAGTGAGTGTTGTATGGAGAACAGGGAGTAGGAGAAAGGAACAATGAGCCTGGGGAGACACATGGAGGTCAGGTGATGCAGGGCATTCTACAGGGCTTCACCTGGAGAGGGAGCCTAGGCAAGCTTGTGAGTGGAGGAGCTCAGCTTTGGGAGCACACTGTCCTCTGGAGGGAGAGGAGAGGTAAGGGGACTTCTGCACAGACCCAGGTAGACCGCAGGCTGTTGGAGCAAAAGAGGGTGAAGACGCCAGCAACATTGGGCATTTGAAATTGACAAGATGCAGTGAGAGATGGCAGGGTAGAGGGTTGGGCACACAGGAAACAGTTGAGCACAGTTGGGGATGTGTTGACTTGAGGAGCTGGAGGGACACCTAAGTGGAGATGTCAGGAAGCAGCTGGCTGGGTGGGGAAATGCTCAAGAGAGCACCAAGAGTGGAGATAAGGCATTTAGAAGTCCTAAGATGTGGAGTTAGCGAATAGCTACGGGGAGTCAGTTTGGGAGGCTGGGTGAGAGCCTGGAGCCATCTCCCCCAGAGCTATATCCAGATGCAGCAGGGCCAAGGGAAGGGAAGGGACTAGTGCGGGTCATACATGTTAGTGGCAGAGCCAAGTTAAGCACTCAAATCTCGTCGGGTGTTCCCTACACAACCTGTGCTGGTGCTCCAGTGGCTGGGCTTCCACGTGTATGTACCGTGGCTTCACTCATTTAATCCTTCCACCATCCAGTGACAGAGACATAGCATTATCCTCATTTTACACATGGGGAAACTGAGGCATTGCACAATTAAGTCACTTGTAACAGAACTAGGATTCAAACCCAGGTTGTGCTGCCTCTCAAAAAGTGACTCTGCTACGTTAAGTAATTTGTAAGAAGAAATTTGTGAAAAATATATTGGGGAGTTTATGGAATCACTGAATGGGCTAGAGAACCAGATTTGGGGCCCCCAGCCAAGAACACAGTACAGAGCTGGCCCAGTGAATGAACATCCCTCCTCCTGAAAGGCCCTGCCAACACCACCAGCCTTGGCCACCAGGTGGGCCACAGCCCTGCTGCACCACTGCCACCACCACCCTGGAGTCTTTTTGAGACAGGGTCTCCGTCTACCAGGCTGGAGTCCAGTGGCACGATCAAGGATCACTGCAATCTCAAACTTCTGTGCCCAAGTGATCCTCCTGCCTCAGCCTCCTGAGTAGTTGAGACTACAGGCACATGCCACCACACATGGCTAATTTTTAAATTTTATGTAGAGGTGGGATCTTGCCATTTTGCCAAGGCTGGTCTTGAACTTCTGGTCTCAAGCAATACTCCCATCTCTGGCTCCCAAAGTGCTTGGAGTACAGGTGTGAGCCACTGTACCTGGCCAAGTTGGAGTCTTAAGCTTCCTGCAGTTATCTCTGGAGAGGCTTTCTTCCTATCTCCATTTGGGGGCCCCCAGTTCACTAATTCCCTCAGGTGCATCTGATGGTTGGGGGAGTATGTGGAGCCCCAGGTCCCATGCTGAAGCTCTGGCTACAAGGGACCCTGGGAATTAAAGACCTGGTGATTTAGCTGTAGGTGGGGTGGTAGCCTCTGTCTTCCCCCCAGGATTCCTCGGGCCCAGGTTCAAATTTTGGGTGGCTAGAAACAGTCCTAAATGTCCATATACAATATGGACATTTTGTAAATGTAAAGGAATACCTTTCCCACCCAGTGGCTGGGTTTGGCAATAGTAGACTCCCAAACTCAACCCAGCACTTCTATGTCAGTCTGGGTCTGAGCTTGGGTGAACATCACCAGCTGCCTGTTCCCTTCTGACCAGCAATTTGCTGTGATTAGATCAAGACAGAAATATGCAAGGTAGGTCTCAAGTTGGTTAGTTCTTAGCCTGCAGTGGCCTTCAAGCAATGCAGGATGCTGATTCAGGGAGATGTACCTCATTTGGAAAGCCAGGAAAACTGTGCTATTAGCACCAGGACTATGCCTCTGACCACCCCAGCTCTGACCACACTTCCCCAAATCTCTTAACTGGGAATGAGAAGCAATCCAGTCCAGGAAGTGGAGGCCAGGCTGGAAGGAGACATTAGCTGCAAGGTTTTTCCCACAAAAAGCAAAAAAGATGTCCAGACATGGTGGCTCATGCCTGCAATCTCAACATTTTAGGAGGCTGAGG